ATATATATATATATATATATATATATATATATATATATATATTTTCCTACAATGAGTAACTTTATGGAACTAATTTATGGAAATCATTACTTCCATAAAGTCAAAAGGCTGGCTTGCCAAATTTCTACTATCCTCATAGCTCTCAAGGGAAACTATTTCATCCAGGGTGACAGAATCAGAATCAGAATACTTTCAAGAAGACCTCAAAGAGTTAAAATGATGAGATGAGCAAAAGAAAATAAAAGTTTTAAAAAGTAAATGTAAATTCCTGCACTTGGATTCATAAATAACTTCAGTGGTGCAGAAATGGGGAGATATGACCTGGGAAAATTTCAAAATGAATCAGATTTAAGGACTCCTATATAAGGACTTTTCCTGTTTAACGTTTTTATCCTTTTCAATTTCTATGTCTCTGAGAATCTATGAATCATTTTATGGTCAAATGTTGTGTCTAGAGAAGTAGTGGAGAGCAAAAGTCCATGTGAAATTGCCTATATTTATGAGGTCCCACTTTGGATACAATCAATTTGAAACTATGTGTTCATGAATTAACACTAACAGTGGTTTATAATAACCACAAAACCCGCAATTGTGTTTTCATTAAAATAAATCTTAATAATATTTCCATCTAAATGCTTTTGGTTAGCTCTGATTTAAACATTCTGATAGCTGTATAAGAAATTGGAAAAGTTTTATATTTGCACATTATATCCAAAAAGGCCATTGGGAGATATATCTTCAACCTGCAGCTTCAGATAAATTAAAACTACCATTTGATATTCCTCTCCTTTTATATCTGCATAGATAATTCTGTAAAAGTAACAAGATATTTAGGGTCAAAATAAGCTACTGTGGGGGAATATCTTTAATTTGTACACAAGAAAATAGCTTTAGAGTTGTGCTAAATAATATGATCAACACAGGTTGATACCAGTTCCAATTTAAAAATCTTAAGCTTTCTGACTGCATTCAAATTTTTATAGAGCACTTCAAGTGAGATACATTTCAAGCAGMAGAAATATCATTTACCCTGTTATTAATATTAGAACTAAGTCCCCAAAGAGGGGTTCAGATTGATGTAGTGGGTTAAAGGGAAGGAACTCCTCAGTTCTCTCCTAGCCTGGCTCTATCTATTAATAGTATCCTAAGATTGGACCACCTTGTCACCTCCAATGTTTTTTTCAATGACAGCAATTGTGCTTATTTTAGTTCTACATATTTTAGTTCTATATACTCATCTATCTGAGTGTACTGCACATTATCAGTGCTATGTGAACATCTGTAATTTGGCCAGGTGTCAAAATATAAATGAATTTTCATACAAATAAACACGGCATACACACATGTTAATTCATAAAATGTTAAATGTGAAAAATCAGCAAGAGCACACCAAGTGCCAAGTTCAATGTTAATGCAGGTTGCATAAGATGTGGGTTGGGTTTGATTTTTAGAGTACTTGGGGAAAAATGGGAACTTTAAAAAAAAATACTCTTACCATACAGGTATTTTCCTTTATTAAAAGCAAATAAAAATAAGAAATTAATTTTTAAAAATAGTAAAATATTAGGAACAGACAGTAAAAAAAGTAGGTAATATTAAACTTTAAAATTCATACCTGTTATTGTGAAGCCACCTAAAAAAAGAAAAAAAATAAATGTTACAATTTAAATTACACTCTGGATAACATATACCAGTGATATTTGACTATCTGACAACCCACCCAAGGTAATGGAAATTTGCCAAATTATATTCTCAATTACAAATATGAAAACATCCATTCATGATGGAATCACTAATTCCTTTAAGATTGTGGAATTTTAGTGCATAAAGTTAATTCTGAGGCATATCTAAGAAATCTATGGTTTTCAAAAGTTAAYACTAAATTAAAAATGTAATATAAATTATTTGACTCTAACTAAAGTGAGGCCAATGGCCCTAAACAACAATCTTGTTAGCAATTCAATAGAGATAAAAATCAGAGAGCTACTATATTACCTAACAGAAATGGAAAATAACCCAGAAAAATGGAAAGGAAATGCAAGAAATGAAGTGCTTACCAAGCTCATTCAATAACAGGGCTGTGAAGGAAACAGACAAAGACAAACACAGAATAAGAGACCAGATGAATAATGAAAGTAAGAGGAATATCAGCAGAAAGAAATCCAGGCAGATCTGATCAGAGTGGTTAAAAAAAACCACTGCTAAAAATTTGGTGCACCCAAGGGTACAATGTGGTGTTGAGGGTACTTCCAAATTAAAGATCCAAACAAATAGTTCTGTAAATGTGCGTGATTGATGAGAAAAAAAAAATCACCTTATGAATCTTTTTTTTTTTTTACATTTAACAAGACATTTCTACTATATATGCTTATACACAGTGTATATATCTACAAAATATAGTAGAAAGTTAAATAAAGTTAATCCTTTGCTTGACTCAAAGTTGCTTTCCTCATTAAATGTTGCCTGGGAATTAATACAGCATTTGGGAGTCTAGTGATCCAGGATCTCAGGTATCATACATTTTAATCAGCAAGAACAGATAAAAGATCCTAAGATGTTCCCTTAGACTTCCCTGCCTGCCAGGACACTCTGACCCCTTTTTCTGGTACAGCCCTCTTTCTGGACATGCTACTTGGATGATATTTTGGTCCCTATGGATTGCTAAAGTTTCAAAAACTCTTAAATCCTAAGAATCACAGGAATTGATACTTATTTGTGTGTCCTCATTAATGACTTCTGCACAAGATTAGATAACCGGATATTTCTAGTGGATATAGAACTCCATAGAAACTGACAGGGCAGGGAGGGTGGAGGAAGCAAATAATTTTTCTTTGAGGTTATATCCTTTAAACCCGATCTGGATGGCAGTACTTTATTTTAGTAAAAGCTACCTGGCTAAATATAAATGGCTTTCTGAGCTGTAGATAGAAATGTTACAATTGCTCTTTTAGGCCCAGTTTTCTCAGTAATGGTAGTGGCCTTAGAGGGCACTTTCTATAACAAGTCAGTAATTTTATTTATAGTGATAAGAATCCACTTGGCGGCAAGAAACTGGGTAGCGCCATCAAGGAATTTTAATTTGCTTTCACACGAAGGCATATTTTACTAAAATGACAATTGAAAGAGCTGTATCCAAGATGCTCTTCCTTGAGATAAAAGACAGCTCTTTGGAGGAATACATTTAGAACTAAGTGCTTTTTTCCCATCTTTGTAAGACATCAGCACAATTTTATGAAGTCTCTTCTCCTTCTGCTTACTGCCTATGGAACTTATTAAATAAGCTGCATTCAAATGGGTCCCAAGTGCTCCTTTATCCACCGTTCCAAAGGCTTCCATTGCCATTTTGAGCTTGATTAGGTCAGGGACATGTCCTCAAGAAAAAAAATAATAATAATAACCTAAGGGACCCTGAGGTCAGTGAGTTCTCATAAATGTGAAATTAAATTTCCCCAAATGTTGGTTCTATATATGAATAAGTCCTGTGAATTTTATTTTTTCCTTTACATGTAAAAGTAAAAACTTCTTGCAGTGTTGTTCATCTAATCATCTTTTACACTGCTCTTGCCAATTGTGTATATATAAATAATAAGAATTATTAGCATGTGGTATGCTCATTTTACACATGCAGTTGAATCAACAGGACTTTTTTGTTTTTAATATGGCCACTGTTAAAAGGATAATCATAGGGAGTACTAGTATTTATCTTTTATTTCACAATAAAATATTATATGTAAGGCTGAAATAAAATTGCTGTTTACCCTTATCAAATCTAGGCCATATAAAATAGATATGAAACAAAGTTAGGAGAGAAAATTGGCTCCCTTTTCAAATATTTTCTACAACAATACTTATGAATAATCAAAATAGAGTTATACGGATACTGCTGCTTAATTTTTCTTTTTACTAGACAAATCAAAATTTATTAATTCTATAATGATCAAAAGATTTTAGAACATAAGGATATATAGACCTTAACCCAGGGTTAAAGTTTTACCAAAGGACCATATCTTTCCATCTAAAGTAAAATGTATATGACTACAGTTTTATATGTATGGCACCTTTTAAATGTTATATTTAATACAAAAAATGTCAAAATGAGCACTTGAATATGGGTAACGCTACTCTTTAAGGATCTCTGTTCTTATTAGTTTGTTTAAAAAAAAACTGTGTTCTTTTTACAGAAGCCTAATTATTGAATTCTTCTGAAATTTCTTATTAGTTACCCTTAGACTTATTTGTTGCCACTAATAGGCATGAAGTAGTTTTTTTCTGCTTCCGGCTTCACTGAAGCACGATTGAGGAGCTATGAAATAGTCTTTATCACTATCATTCTAGGGGAGATGTATAATTGTAGCCACGTTTTAGAATGAACTTTACATAGTGAAAAACTAAGCACGTTGTTCTTTAACATCATCGTTTCTGAAATCCAGAAATATCTAGTACTTATGAAGCCTGATTGTAATCAAGGTTAGTCCACATTTCCTGTGGAAAACGGGCACTGCTTAGTGCACTTGTGGGTTAGGGATGGGAAATGAACCTGCTAAAGCTTCAGAGGCAATGGAGTTTAGTACTTGGAAGCCGAGGAAGAGGAGAGAGTTAAGTGTGAGAGTAGGGAGACACGGAGAGAGAAGAGTACAATTTCTCGCTGGTATGTCTTTGTATACTCTCACACCTTTCATTCCTCTTCTTATCCATTTTGGTTCCTCAAGCACAAGGGAGAAACTGCACTCTTTCTCATATTCCTCACGGTCATATATTCTAATGGTAATGATCTTCCTGTGGGAACACAAGACAAAGGCAAAACAAATGGTTGGAGTCACACGCTCATGCTCTAGATGTCCACCAAGCTGGATGTTACTGTGATGTTATGGAGGGAGAACTCGCAGCACATGGACCTCCAGACGTATGTAAAAGGGCATCTTGGTGCTCTCAGCTGGCCCCCATTAAATTTTCTRTGCTTATGCATCCCTTGCATGAATTCTTCCTGCTTGGGTTAGCAGTCCCTAGGTACCCCAAATTAGGAAGGTAAATTGGAAATCTGGCTTCATTTTTAACATTGCCTAGCATCTGTATCAATTTTCCCAGAAATGGAGGTTTGATTGACTGCACTGGCCAGTAATTTTTTAGACCCGGCCCACTGCAGCCCAGCGTGAGATCTATGCCCTGTTACAGAGGTGGAGGGATGTGTGCATTGTAAGTCATGTTCTGAAGAGTGCAGGCATCCAGGGTGGCACAGGCCAGCAGAAGCTGTAGGGCTCAGCCCTGGAGCAGCTCCCCCACCTTTCTTCTCACTCATCTCCACCAGGCGGGGCTCTCCAATCTCAAGGAAGAAGGTCTTGTTTTTCTCATACTCCTCATCATCAATTACCTTGACTGATATTGTTTTGCTGAAATAGAGAAGAATAGAAATTGACGAACAAGGGGAAGAGGAAAGAGAAGGAACATAGAGAAGAGGAAAGCAAGGTTAACACGTTGCACTTCTTCCAAACAGTAATTGAGAAAYGTCTGTACTTTTGAGTTTTTTCTTCAAGAATGGATATCAGCAGGTCGGAAAGACTAAAAAAGCCACCCAATGCATATCTCCCTGCCCAGGGCCAMGGAATTAATTTGGACAATATAGTACTCAGTGCTAATAAGTTATCATCATCATGAAAAGGAAAAGCACAAAAATACATATCACAGTAATAAAGGAAAATATATTTATTTAAGAAATGCCTTCGCCATCAGGTTAACTGRGCTGTGTCCTGCTATTCATTCCTTTAGAATAAGTCAATAAATTACAACAAAATTTTAACAGAGTTAATCTCTGAGCAATAGGCTGGTGGGTCACTGTTTCTTTCATCGTGCTTTTCTGATATTTCCAAGCAAAATATTTTGTATCATAAAATTTTATTAAAATAACAAACGTACAGAAGCATCACAAAAGAAAATATTAAGTCTTTTACTCCACCCAGTGTCCTAGAATCTAACTTTTATTCAGGTTAAGCAGATTTTCCACCTCAAGCACAACAGGAAGTTATTCATGTTTTGTTTGTCTTTCTAAAGATGGAAGCTGTGGCCTCAAAWCAGCTGTTTTGAAAGTGGGGTGGCAGTGATGTGGGTGGGGAAGACTTGTGCTATTGTAGTTATTTTCATTTCTCCCAAAATTGAGTTTTGACTTTCACTGAATATACTATTTATACTACTTTCAAACTCTACCTATGGGARAGAAACACCAAGGCATTGGGAAGAGTTTCTCAGATAACCCAGCCTCCAGCAGTTTTGCTTTGTGGTCCTACAGCTGTGATTGACAGACAGGCAGGTAGGACAAATGCAACWATTATGCAAATTCCAACTTCCAGTAAGCCTCCACGACTCTGAAAATGAATAAATCTATTGTTATCTTTTAAGTAATTAAGGACCTGTATTAGAGCATATTCAAATATGCTAAAAAATATCTAAAAGACGTTCCTAGATGCTGATTATTTTTTGAAAAAAAATTAAGAATACTGGCCAAAACCACTTCTGATTATACTTTTTGCAACAATATGTCTGTATAGACACAAAGTTTTATTGGTCTGAACATTCTTTAATCTTGGTTGAGTTTTCTAGKTCTTTGGGAAGGAAAGTGGTTTATTGTCTTATTTTTATTTTATTGATCAAAGACTTCAAGTTTCATTTAGACTTAGGCATGCTAAGAACATCTTTTCTAGTGTGAAGTTAGAAGTTGCTTTTAATTCTTTTGTTTTTTTCCAACCCCCAATGGGCAAATGTTGAAGTCTTGCTTTCTTGGCTTAGCATTGTAGAAGTGAAATCAAGTGATTGATTCTGGTTTTTGGAGCCTCATAATGTAACTCTTGTTTTCCTCAGCTCCAGATCTTGCTGCATGATGCAAAAGTCCTGATTTCTTGCTCCTAAGAAGTGGGAACTCCTGAGAGTGCCTTTTCTCTCTCAACTCTTTCCTCAAAGACTAATACTAGATTAACAGTTATAAATGACAAAAGCAACAGTCATTTATTCTAGAAAACTATAAATGAAGTATGACAAAGTCCAAGTATATGTATACTGTGAACAGTTCCTGTCTAAAATTTAGAACTAAGTTTCTGGAATTCACCTATTTATTTTGTATATGTTTTAAAAATCAGTTTGACCTGATTAACCTGAGATAGTTAATTATTTTTTCATATCTGAAAAATATAAAATATTGAAAAAAGCTAAGAGGACACATGTTATTATACTTTGTATTTCAGAACTGAATTTGATTTTATAAATTAGATCAAATTTACCCTATAAAACCTAACAAATGTCTCTTTGTTATTAAAATTTATGCATTTTAGGTATTACTTTCTACCTTACTGTCTTGAGATCTTAAAAGTATAATTGTAGCTGGGCACRGTGGTGCATGACTGTAATCCCAGTGGCTTGGGAGGGTGAGGCAGGAGGATCACAAGTTCAAAGCCATCCTTAGCAGAAGCAAGAAACTAAGCAAGCAACTCAGTGGGACCCTGTCTCTAAATAAAATACAATATAGGGCTGGGGATGTGGTTCAGTGGTTGAGTGACCCTGGATTCAATCCCTGGTACACTTTCCCACCCCTCAAAAAAGTTTAATTGCACATCTTTACTGAAGCTACCAGCATGTAAGACCAAGGGAGTGAGGGGTATGAAAGGCCATACTACTCACCTTGGGACTGATAGCTCAACATTCATTGTCAAGGCATTTTATCATGAGATGCATTGAACTGAGACACCTCATTGTGAGAGTCATGTTGCAATATTCTTATTGTATTACTTAAAAACGTTTCATCTTTTTTAACCAGATGTGTTTTTTCCCCTAGAAAGTGAACCATTAAAAATGTGGCCATATTGAGAAATACTTTAATGTCATTATAAGACTTAGAGCTGCTTTGCTAGTTTTCAAAAAATTCAACTTTAAAATACATTGTTTAAGTATTTACATAAAAATAAGTAAGTTTTCCTCACCTATTTTGTATCATTGTGGTAGTTGAAAAGAGTGATACCAGTGTGTATTCCTAGCCCACCCTGTGTCTCCTATTTCATTGATTATAGAAATAAAGAAAGCAAAGTCGGGATGATTGAATGGTGTTACCAGTGGGATGAGTGTATAGGGAAGTTTTATGCCCCCTGGGCAATATAACCACTTATTCACAAATGAACAGAAACAACTAAACAAAATATTGTTTCTAATCTCTGGAAARTAAAATAGAATTTAATTCTCAATTGTTGTAGTAATTTTATTTTCTATACTTTGAGAAGTGATAAGTGTGAGAGTTATACAGCCCCATATAATTTGTTTGCATAACGAAAGTAAGCATTTATATTTTATCTGGAGTATCAGTATTCACTGGGCTCATAATCTTCAGAAAATAGTCCAGTATTTGATAATCATGAGACAGGCAAATGAAAGATGAAGAAAAAAGTACATCTGTAGGTGCCTTGTAAAGATGTCTAAAATAGATGGCATTTGCATAATGGCATATCATTTTAAAGTCATCAGTAATGGAATCAATAATGCCCCTGACAAGAGGAGCCATTAAATTATATATTGATTTAGCTTCTCTTGCACAGTAAATCTATTAATAGGAAACATGATTGTTAAAGGACATTGCAGTCGATCTAAAGTGGCAGGATGAAGCAATCAGTCCTTATGAACTAGCCCTCTTAACCAAGAGAGGTAAAACCAGAAGTCAGGGTAGTGTTATCATTTGCATCTGCATAGAATTATTTTTTCCCCAAGTAAGGATGAATGAACCAATGTCATTTTTAAAGGAACACATCCTTGGGATGCCTTCTTCTCACCTTCCAGAGCCTAATGGCTAAAGAAAATTCTACTGCCASTTCTTCCATCACAGCAGATGTTACACGAGATGGGGTTGGTTTGATGAGGACTCCAGGTATACTGGGTTGATAAAAGGCAGAGGTATGCCTCTGTTCCTCACACTTCTACAGTAGAAAGAAAATCTCTGGGACTGAGGGAACTTGAAGATCCTTCAGCGGGCCTCATCATCACACCAATCCCATGTCAAAGGAACTCCATCTCCCTCATAACATACATCCATGATGGCTGTTCTGTTCACCAACAGTGAAGCAGTCAGAKAGCTGTTGTTATTTCCTTAAACTGACAGGTTAACAACAACAATAAAAAAGACTGAAACTGTTTGGTAGATGGGCTTTTCATCCAAGTATGACCCCTGTATTATTATTGCACTGATAAGGAAAAAATAGGAAAACTGGTATCATGCTCTTTCAACCATCACAATTATTACAAAGAAGATAATGAAAACTCAATTTTTAATGTAACTACTTAATTGTACCATAATTTTTTTTTTCTGGAAACTAGCAAAGCAGTTTCAAATCTTATGACAGCATTAAAATATTTCTCAATATGGCCAAAAATTTTATGGAAGTACATTTTGATTCCATTTCTAGAAAAAAATTAGTTAAGAAAGATAAAATTATTTAGTGGAAAAAATACTGATCGTTTCTTTTGATCTTTGCAGTACCTTTCATGTGAGGATACCAAACCAACATCTACACTTTACTTTTCAGTTTTTCTCTCATCTGGTGAGTCTCTAAGGACCCAAGAGCTTCAAACAGACTAAGAAAGACTCCTTAAATTTAGTGGTRATTCAGGCACTACTCAGTGAGGAAGGAAAGAAAGACCTGGTTTCATGAGTGGAGATGGAAAAAGAAAATCTCTTCAAACTTTATTTTAGTCTCTCATTATTAAGGTGAAGTGGTAACAGAGTCTCCTTTTCAATTTAAGCCCTCAATTTGTCCTACAAGAGTTTCTTATCCCTAAGACTCTCCTTGATGTTGGAAGAAAAAGATGAGCTGGAGGATTAGAGAGAAGACTCCTTTCTAAATCYGTACACAAAAGATTTGAGCCAGGATTGCACATATTTAGGCGCTGCAATGGCTTTTTTGTTTGTTTTGTTTTTAAGAACTTCCTTTAGGCATACTCTGAGGTCAGTGGAATGATGGGCAGTTTGCAATTCTTCAAAGGTTCCAACACATAGGTAGATTATTCTAACAGCCACAGAAATAATAATTACTATCTACAATTTACAGAGAAAACAATGACTCTCATTAACTTCCAAGGTCACAAGGTGACTAGCTTCAAGGACCACTACCTCATTCATGTGACCSTCAATCAACCATCAGCTCCCTTATTCATTCAACTGCACAGTTTTTTTAATGACCACTTAAAAAAATCTAGATCATTATTTCAAATTAATATAGAGATTTATTTAGTTTTATATTAACAAAGCCCGCCTMTATATATGAACAAAAATAGACTTTCAATTCTTTTTTTGAAAGGATTGCAGTACATATTATATTCCATAATGGTCACCTTAGAAAGTTAAATCCTTAAGAAGATG